AGAGCTGCTGAAGAAATGAGATTGGTTTCCCCGACTTGTTTCTGCGTCGTATCAATGTGTTAGAATCATGCTAAACTCACGTTTGGTTGCAAAATCCCAAAAATTCACTCTCACTAAAATGATTTAGTTTTTCCATAAAATTATCTTTAGAGACTGCATTTGTCAGTAACAAATTCTAAGTTCGTGACGACAACTTATGCTCTAGGATTTTTTTTCGGAGGATCCATGAAAATTATTGGACCGAAATACAAGAAAATCAATTTTGTTTTAAAAGTATGTATATGATGTACAATTCGAATCTCGGAACAAATTAAAGCAAGTCGTTCACAAAAAGTTCTGCGTTAAAATAAATACTCGAATGTCCGAAGGAGATATGTATTGTGTCATTTGTAACATAGGGGAAGAGGTGGAATGTATACGAAGGAGGTATGAGGTGGTTACACGAGCTCGGAGAATTTTCACATTCCGATTTTTGTTAGTGCCGCGTTGCAACGAACCCAATTAGCGCCAACTGTAGCGTGAAACGCTTTTGCATTGTCACTGTTTCCGAAAGTAACCTGTAATTTATCGCTGCGTTCATAAAAATAAATTTCAGCCTTTAATTTTTACGTGGGAACTTTTATATCTATCTTGAAAACGAATGTGACACGTTGCTTTTAGTCGAATGTATTGTTTGTAAAAACATATGGCGTGCTCATTTATTCAAAAATCATACTTGATTTTAACATTTTCGTTTTAACATCGCTTTTAGCTTTTTTTTCGACAACATGGTTTTCGAATCTCGAGCTTGAATTATTTTGAACAAGTTTTTGATTAGAGAACATGTTATCTTAGACATCATGTACTGAAATCTGCTTGTTTTCTGCTTTCATGCGTCTGAGAGCATTTTTTTAAAATAAAACTCTCTTTAAATTCTCACTATTATTTGACATACGTAATTCATTTGTTTAAAACTGCAATAAGATGTTGAGAATTATATGAGTAACGGATAGTAAAAAAAATGCGGTCATGTTGTAAAGCTCAGTAAAAAGTACCTCGTGAAACCTCGCGCCGTGAATGACTCATTCTCTACAGCTAATGAGTCGCTGTACTTACGGCAAAGCTTGGCATATTTTTAACGTGTTCTACTTATACAAGGGAAATCTTTTTTCAGATAATTTTTGTAAAAAATAACGTTCTAATTATTTTTAAAAAACTAACACAATGATTTTTTTTCAATAATAGCTTTTGCATAAGGGCCTTCCGAAAGGCATAAACGATGTAAAATAGATCTTGATTTCAGTGGACATTCTTAACATTCACTTTTTTACAAAATCTTAGCGCAAATCACAGAATCCACGTTTAACTTATGGTTTTAAAACCCCCATTTTAGGGGGAGATTATGTTTAAGGAATATGTTGCTAATTTTTCGACGGGTTTCGTAAGCCGTTCATAAAAATATCCACATTGTTTGTTACCTTTTCATTCTAGAAAAAGCAGATGTTTAAGTTCTAGTTTATATTTAAATTGTTACTTCCAAGAACTAAAGATATCAGTAATTGGTTAGCGAAGCGCCTAATATTACACTCCGGATGCCATAAAAATTGTTTTAAACGATAAAATACCTTTAACGACAAGGACAGCTGGTTGTGTTTATCCCAAGTTCAACACCTGACTTCAAAGAATTATTGATAGGTGCCAGTCTAAACAACAAACTTACATAGGTACATGCTTTTATTTGTTATTAGCCCTTGTAACTACGTTTGCGTGGAATTAAAAATATGTGTTACTCACTGATGACGTTTTTTAAATCTAATCAGTAGTTTTAGTTATTTCAATGCATACAAAAATACAAATCTTTCCTCTTTATAATATTAGTATAGATTAGATATTTTTTGTAATAATAAGGCTTTTATTTACATTTGTAACTAGGTTACTTTATAAATCGTGTTATACGAATTTATAATCGAAGTCTGTGGTAAGGATAATTTTGTTACGTCACTAGTCGTGCCAGTCGATAAGTTGTCGAAAGCAACGCTGGATCCCCCGGAGTATTTCCTTGCTCGTTGGCTCCCTGCCATGATACGGTGTACTGCACCTTGCTTAATTTATTTCATTTAACCCCAATACCTGCATTAAGAACCGTTTTACATTTTAGGTGAATTTCTTAGTTTTGGGCGCTTCAGTTATTTAGTGATGTTTTGAAATAGATTAATACTTCTAAATGATAAATTAGTCTTTTTATTAAATAAAGACAGAATAGATTTTCGAATACAAAATTGGATAATGTTGCATCAATCTGCCATAAGTACTTTTCAACGCATAGAAAATTTTAGATCCTCCGAAAGTCATATGTATTAACAAATAGTGCATAAACAAAATTCAAATAACAACAGATTATTGTGTTGAGGAATGCCGGTTTTTTTACTTAATATTTAACAAAACTTATTAGACGTTAATTATAACTATAGATAAGAATATAGTTAATTTCAGGCAGTAATTTTTAATATGATAGTTAAGCGTGATGTTAATATCATAGTTGTTTTCACTATGACAATGTAGGAGTTAAAATGGTGTACTCAAATATAGTAAACAAGTTGCATAAGCGATGTTATCCAGAGTTTTACATATGCTCGAGGTATGTGTCCGTGTTACAATAATAATTTATTCGTTTTTTTGTAGAGGCGGAAAGAACGCGGTCGCATTCCTACGGGTACCATTCATACCGTGGAGCTCGCTCAGTTGGGCGAAGTCAGCAAACAAATACCAGACGAGGAAGGCGACAAAAGCCCCTTGTATAGGTACCCCTTTCAGGTACGGTCAGACACATTGTTTTAATTTCTTCAACATGTAAAATAAATCGTAATTAAACACGTTAATAAGGATGTCTACAAGATTATACATTCATTTATATAGTTGTGGTTTTGTTCAGGTATCGTATACGGAGAACAACACAGATTACACTTTGTACCTTGTTGCCGGTGACCATAGTGAGAGATTGCGTTGGATTCACGCTATAAGAACTGGTAAGTATGTTTGATAATAATCAAAGAACGAATAGTATGTTAAGCTTTAACATCGCCAACCGAGTGAGTAGGTTAGCTGCTGTAAAATGAACCTAACTGCCAACATAATGAAGTAGTTAATTCTACAAGTAGCCTGTCTCCCAAAAAAATTGAACGCACTATAAGATTTTGTACCCGGGTATCATTAACTATGATTCTTCTTAAACTTAATTGAAGATACTATATAATAAACAAAATTGCTTCAAATTAATTATGCTCTTTTGAAAGCAAGCAATAAAATTATGATTAAAGAATTTTTGCTATAATCACAGTGCAGGCGTTTGCTTAGTTATATTACTGAGATTTAATTTACCTATGTTTATTTAGTATCCTTTTTTCATTTTAACATAACTTGATTTGAAATTATTTGTTTGTATATACCCTTGTGTTATTTATATTAAGTCACAAGCATTACAAATTAACGTGACTAATTAAGAAGCTTACTAATAGGAATCTTTGATTTGATTTATTTTCCTTTCTCTCTTGTCGAGAAGCAACGAAAGTTGGATGGGATGAGTCATCATTCGGAAGTTAATTTTGTACCGTTCCATCTCTAGTAACCCCGGTTAACTTTTTGTTCTTAATATTATTCATCCACTGCGTTAATCATGACTTAATTTAGTACATCTTATTTATAACAATTAATGTCAGTACTCAGAACAGTACTCAGTAACTATTTAATCTGAGTGGCGGGAGTTTTAAATATGAATTTCTAACAAGAACAGGAAAAAATGACGGTTAACCTAAAAAGTGTTTTTAAACGTACATTGTCCGTGCTGGTAGAAGTGTTTGTAGCACCTACAGCGTCCTCGAATGAAAGGATTCTGGCTAACAAAAAGATTAACATAGTATCGTGTCACACCTTTGTTACCGGCTTAGACTTTTTGTACGTTTTGTTACTCTGGCAAACGTTTCAATTTGAAATGAATTTACTCTTTTAGTACGAAGTATATAATTTCAATAGAAATAGTATGACTTTTATTTAATACAGTTAGTCAAGCACATTGCGAGGTTTGAAATGTAAAGCGAACGTAGCTACATGTATGTGTAGGGCTATACTAAACTATTTGTAGTTTTACCTTAAGGTACATCATACTAATATTATAAATGCGAAAGTTTAGATGGATGGATGGATGGATGGATGTTTGTTAGAGTTTGTAGTCAAAAGAGCTGAACGGATCTATGAAATTTGGTATGAATGTAGAGGATAGTTTGGAAGGACACATACGCTACTCACTTTTGTTTTTTTTTTAAATTCCACGCGAATGGAGTCGCGGGCGAAAGCTAGTTTCATATAAAAAGTGTATAAAATGTACCTTAAGGTAAAACTTTTTGCGTAGGAATCGTATCTCATGTACTTTATCTTTTGTGTGTTGAACAGAATATTTCAAATTTTTGTCCTCATTTAAAAGGATTCGACCTTCTCATTCAGATAGTAATCGCCTTCGGTAGTGCGTGACTCCACCCCACATTACTGTAAATCTGTTTAGGGTAAGGGCCTTCGTATGTTAGGGTAAAGAGCGGTTTAAATTTTACTCAAGTCTAAGTTGAAAAGGTTACGATAGTTTTTGCTTTTGACAAGAATGTATTCGACCTTTCCCTTTTTTTTGTTTTTTAACCCGTTATGATAACATTATTATGGCGTTAACATTTTAAATAATGTCTGTCGCTGTCGCATCGGAAACTTTTATAAAAACAATGCAATTAAAAACGTAGAATCCGCAGGTGAGAACAATGCATAGAAACTATTAAATATAAGAACCCATGAGAAAAACAGATGATAACTTGATAAACATAACAGCTGTCTTCTGTGAAATAATTATTATACTTTTAAAAGAAAAGACAAAGTAATTCTCCTTTAAAATAAAAACGTTAAAACGTCTTATAAGCGTATAGTACGTGACATTAGTACCAAAACATGACTAGCGGAAACGCTGAAGGTAAAATTTAATATGCAATGCAACCACTTGATTACTGACTAGTCGACAATCAATACAAATTATTTTCTGGGACTTCCTCTAGCAAGTAAACAACTGAATTCAGTTAGTTTTCAAAGTAAAGTTGGCTTTACACACAGCGAGGGTGTTTTTGAAAACTTTGCGAAAGCTTAGATGGATGAATATGTTAGAGGTTGCAGCCTAAACGGCGAACGGAGTTCTATAAATGTAGAGGATAGTATAAAAGAACACATAGGCTTTTGTTTTTTAATTCCACGCGAACGGAGTCGCGGGCGATAGTAAGTATATATTTGGGGAACAATATTTTAATAACATGTATGTTGTAGTTTGCGTGTCGAATTCCCGCCGCGCGCGCTACCACCCGGCGACGTGGTGCGCGCGCCGCTGGGGCTGCTGCCAGGACGAGCGCCGCGCGGCGCCCGGCTGCTCGCTCACCACCTTCTGGCCGCTGCCGGAGCCGCCTGAGCCGCCCGACACGCGACACGACCTCATTCTACCGATCAACGATACCACACGTAAGTATCGAATACTGTCTAATATCAAATTATGCAACTCTGTAACTGTTCAGTTTTAAGTGGTCACGCTCAGTATAGATTCAGAATGAGAAAATCTATCAAGGGTTTTCTTAGTAACCAATTAAAGATTGTAAGTGCGACAGTAAATCATGTAAACAATTATTGTAAAAGGGCTGTTCTACCGTATTCTTGAAAATTGACTGAATAATCAAACGTGTAAAATATGCAAGGAAATGTCGGACGTTTCTTGTTATACAATTCAAGATTCCGCTAAATACGAACCTAGTAATTAGTAAGTGTTGTAATAAATTTTGAAAGTATTTTGTATAAGTCAAAATCCAGGTTACATAACGTTACATTAAGGATTTGAATCCACTCATGAGAGTTAAAATCGGACTCCGGATCACTGTGCCTTAGAAGCTAGGCTTAAGTTTATCAAAATAATTCGTGTAGGTGTACTATGCGATCACCTTGACACGCTTAAGTCTTAATTTGTAAAACGATACACTACTTTTTTACATATGCATTCACTTGATTTTTTTTTTTCAAAATCAATTAAGGCCACGGCTTTCTTTACGTAGAATTGAATGGACTAATTACTTTTCTTATATCACTTACTATTTTAATTAAATGTTATGCCTTTTTATGCGTGTTACACATATAACTAAAGTCTAATTATTATTTATGACTTGTTTGTTCCTGTGTTAGACATTGTGGATTTTTAGAATGTAAGACGATCTACTCTTCGCCTAACAACCTCAAAAACTTTGCCGGAGAATAATTAATTACATATTTATGAGTGGCGCTTAACTCATGTTAAGTGGCGATTGCCGATGTTATGTCGGCCGTAAAAATTAATTGCCTCTGATAACATTATGTAATTACAAAAGTTTTAAAATTTAACTTCTATAGAAAAATATCTTTTGCGGATACGCAGTGGTTTAAATATTTTTTTTATAAATGAAAGTTTAGGCTTCGTCATTAAACCACAACAATTCTGTTAGTTCCTTATAAAAGTGAATTTGGGATCTCACTTTTATCATCTTAAAAGTAACAGTTGCAAATTAATAAATGTACTATTCGGTAACCGTGTCAATGTAGAGTTATCAATAATTTCGTCATAGGAAACTCGTCCCTATTGTTACTGTGTTAGGTCTCTGCTTAAAACATTGCAAGGCTCTATTCATGTCAGTCTGATGACGTATAACTTTCGTCTTCTTCGCTCTTTTGGTGTTTAGGGCTTGTAAAGTGAGATGTAAGATACGCCTGCGCGTAAGCATCGAACGGTGAATGTAGGCCGCGTGCGACCATCTTTAATACCCTCGCTGTTTCGTCTCTCAATATGTAAAGGCGCGTTCTCTATGTTTAATACGTTCGGATTCTGATATACAACTTAAAGTTGTACACAGCGCCTTATCCTTGAATTTATTTTAATTGATGTAGACAAACGACGCTAATTTAGCGATAAATTCTCACCTGCATAACAAGTATATAAATTAGTGATTAATATTTACGTACATGTCCCATTTAAACATTCTGCACTAAATGGAAGAAAAAGTTGATGTTGATGAGGTTTTGTGAATAGGAATGAACAAAAATGATTAAAAAGACTGCGGTAATATTTTAAAGAACAAAAGTTGTAGTCTCCTGAAAAAAAAAACTACTTTATGGAACTTAAGCAATACAGTATTAAATTAATGTACTTGATCGATTTGACACAAATAAGGGGTGTTGTAAAATGAAGTTAGTGCAGGCATTATGTAGCGCGCCTTACTCGTACTGCAACGGTACATTGACACGTCGCGAGGCGCTCGACAGTCGGCAGTCGACGGTGCGGCGCCGCGACGGACGTCCGTTCCTAACCACACATGTTGCAGACCAAAGTCGACGACACCATGGTCACCAAGAAGAAGTCCAAGATACCTTGCCTCTCGCTATCCTCCTTCCTGCCCGCGTTAGAGGGTAATACTTCAGCTAATTTGGCTGACCTTTTTTTAGGCAATGGCCTCGTCGACACCGGTTGCGTTCACTCGCTGCACTCACTTTCTTGTCTCTCGATCAGGTGTACGCAATGCAATCGGTTTGTGTAAAGTGATACGGTGTTTGTGTTTAAAAATTGTTCTTTTCGGTGAATTGCGACATATTTGCAGTGATATCCTGTTTCTGTCGTTCAGTGTTTGTGATTGCAATGATGTTCTTGCAGTGTGAGATATTCCTGATTTGTTTATGTTGTTGTTATTGTACTTTTGTTAATTTTGTATCGGTTACTTTTTAATTCTATTTTATATTTCGACTTTATTAACTGTTTACTATGTCTATGCTGTAATGCAAAAATTGCAAACTTTTGCCATTGCGAATAAAAATACAACTTGCTGAAGATTTAGTTATGTTTACTATTTTTTTAAACTAAAAACAAGAATCCTTGCTCTACAACATTTGCACATGCATAAAGTGAAAGAATAATATAAAATTCGAGACACAGTTGCCTTTAAAGGACCTTATCATTACACAACTTAGTTAAATACATTTTTGCCAACAGCACGCTGTTGCAAGGATAACCTCTTCTTAACTTGATTACTTACGTATTATTTTGTCTTTTATATTATTACCTTATTCAATACGCCACTTGTTTAAATATATTTACAATGTTATTTCTTGATAATATAGCAAAGTTAATTATGACAGGTTCAAACAGGACCTAGAAATGTATTAAAAATTGTTAATAAATATACAAGATGTTAAAAAATGATTCAAAGTAATATCCTACTTACCTTTTTATTGCATACATTTAAAAGATTTAAGTGTAATCGTAATCGTAAACATCGACATGTTAGTATTGATAAAAACCAGCTGAGAAAAATAACCTAAATTCTTAGATGTTACAGGGATTCCCCGCAATAAACAAAAACGTTGCCTTCGTAAACAGATAAACATTAATAATAATTAAAGTATTGCTTTATGTAAATATTGTATTTAAAGTTAAACAATTATGCAGCTCGTGTCCATAGTCTCTTTAAAAATATAAATGAGATATAGCTCAAAATTTCTTTCCAGTATAGTATTTCAGATATATCTTGTCCAAGAAATAAGTCTAGTATTTTAAAGTCTTCCTCATTTTACATGATTCTACAACCGTTTTATACATTATTTGACATATTACATAACACATTCACATTTGACCGTGGATTACAATTGATGAACAATTAAAAAAGGGAATAATAATTTTTGACAGTGGATTCCCACGTTAAGAATATATTAGTTCTGTATTTTTAAATTGATTTTTTTTCAGCGGTGACTGCGGCAGTCACGATGCCCGGGGGAGGCGCGCCCCCGCCCGGCACGCCTTCTTCCAAACCAAAGGTGAGCTACAAAATTAAAATAAAACTTTATTCAATTTTCCTATAGTGAATAAATGAAAGAGACACTTCACTGTGGATTTGTATTTTAATCATGTCGACAACCAATTAAAACTCTAGTATCTGTGGTTTTCTATACTATTATAATAAAGCGTAAATACACACTTCTTTGTTGCCTAAGATATCAGCAATGATAGCATATTTTTGAATAATTCTTTTTGTAATAAAAAGCCCTACACTTACGTCACGCTTTAGGCTATATATTTTTAAGCTACCAAACTTAGTGGGTAAATGAATTGGAAAAAAGCCTTAATGTTCTAAAGGGACCATTAAAAACAAGCTGCCAACATCAAGGAAGCTATCTTGCCATGGTTGTCATCTGTACATTTGCAATTGAGAATAAAAATGCCATACGGGAACAGCTAGTTTGCTATAACATTGATTTAAAATCAACAACTAATAATGTATTTGGTTTCAGGAGAAACAGAAGACCAAAGTAGTGGTGGCGTTATATCCGTTTAAAGCCATCGAAGCCGGCGACCTTTCACTGGAGAAGGTAATGTCCAATAGGAGCATTATTACTTTCGCAACGGATTAGTAAGTTTTATTGCAATTGGTACTGAAGGCCGTCTCGTTGTAGGGCGCCGAGTACGAGGTGGTCGATGACTCTCAGGAGCATTGGTGGAAAGTTAAAGACGAACATGGGTTAGTACAATCATTTTAAAATGTTTATTTTTGTATTACACAAATTATTACAAAATATATTTGTATGCAAATTTGATGATGAAGTTTAGAACACTTGAAATTTCTTTATAGCGAACTAGCTTTCGCCCGCGACTCCGTCCGCATGGATTAAAAAAAAACAAAAGTGAGTAGCATATGTGTTCTTCCAGACTATGCTCTACATCTATGCCAAATTTCATCGAAATTCGTTGAGCCCTTTAGGCTACAAACTCAAACAAACATCCATCCATCCATCTATCTAAACTTTCGCATTTAAAATATTAGTATGAGTATGATAAGTATGATTTAATATGACAAAGATTTAAATAACCGCACATACAAAACAATATGGCTCGCAGGGCGTATCGGAAGTCGCTCTTCCGCTTGCTATGTCGTTATATTAAAGGGTTCTTCAGACATTGAATAACAACTGCCTTCGTGTGTTTTATTTATTGTGTCAATTTTTTATCCAAATCTAACTTTAAAAATAAACTTTTATCCTAAAAGGAATTAAAAATCTATGATTATTATAGCAATGACATAATTATCATAGACATTAAATTAAATGTGTTCTTAATCGGGTAATGTAATTTATAATTTCAAACGCCCATTTTGTCTCGCAAACTATTTACATAAGTTTTTGGGTGTTATGCAGGCGAGGAATTAATGGATAGTCGGTAATTAATTTACGATGATCTCATAAACAAACTGGGATTCTGTTTCTATGTAGATTTATGTTACTGAAAAGATATCAACTTTCATTAAAAACAATTCGCCAAATATAGACTAAATATTAAATTTGAAGTCTTCTAAAAAAAGTTATTCTTGAGTTTCTTTAAGTTTGGTCAAATATTGACAATTGAAACAACAACAACAACAGAACAACAGAAACTATTGTCAATATTTGACCAAACTTAAAGAAACTCTACAGTTTCTTCCAAATTAGAATAAAACCACAAAACTCCACGCTTGCCCAATCTGCTGTGGGAGACCCATAAACAAGAAATAGAATAGAAAGAAACTCAAGAGTACAAACTTATTTTAGAAGACATCAGATTTGGACATCGGAGGCATTTTTAATTTGTGGAACGTTTTCATTATGCAAATATAGTTTATAATTTTTTCCCTCTTTACCATTAAAACTGGTTTTTAGTAATTTTTGTTTGATTACAGGTCGGTAGGTTACATTCCTAGTAATTACGTCAAAGAGAAAGAAACGATAGGGTTACAGAAATATGAGTAAGTATGAATTTTCTTTATTTTAGTGTTCAAGGTAATTGGTGGATATTTATTGAAATAAATGTTTTGCAGATGGTACGTGGGAGAGATGTCTCGGCAACACGCGGAGTCGTTGCTGAAGCAGGAGGACAAGGAGGGATGTTTCGTTGTACGAAACTCCTCGACAAAAGGAATGTACACACTCTCGCTATATACCAAAGTGTGAGTATTATTAATATTTAATTTGCTTGAGATTTAATATGATGTTGAAATTGTACTAAAATGTGTAATCAAATTCTATTGAAAAATTTAATTTATATACTTCACTGGCTCACATTATGATTGTCTATAGTACTCACTGATAACGTAGCATTTTAATGGTAAAAGAATTTTTAAAATCGGCCCAGTAGTTTTTGAGTTATTTCAATATATACAAAAAAATCTTTCCTCTTTATAATATTAGTGTAAATATGTATTAACAAGACTGTGTAATTAATACAGCGTTTTATACAGGAAATATTGTTGAGATTGGTCTGTTATTCGTCATTTTAATAGAACTCAACTACAAGTAATGCCTTCATTTTAGTTACTTATCTAATTTATTACAAAAAGTTAAATAGTACGGAAATATGTATGTATAATGACTGTAATGTAGTTATGCCAATACTATTTCATGTTGTTTTTGCACTTGAATAATATTTGTACGTGTTGTGTGCAGTATCCACCCGCAGACGAAGCACTACCACATAAAGCAGAAGGAGAGCGGCGAGTACTACCTGTCGGACAAGCACTGCTGCGCCAGCATCCCCGACCTCATCAACTACCACAAGCACAACAGCGGCGGCCTCTGCTCGCGCCTCAAGGCCACACCCTGCGACCGCCCGCCCGCCACCGCCGGCCTCTCGCACGGTACACTACTTTCTTTAATATAAGTAGGCAAACGAGCAAACGGTCACCTGATTCCACCAAAATGGAAAGCGACCGTTGCCCATAGACATCCGCAATTGCAGATGCGTTGCCTACCCTTAATCGACGGAGGACACGCACATAAAGAGGACATTTCCCCTTCCTATGCGTCTCCACCTTCAAATCCATCTTTTTCTTATATGAAAAAGGATGTAAGGAAAAAAAGACTGATGTATAAATGCATTATCATGCATTTAAGGGTTAAATGGATCTGTTGCTTATTAACAATAATGGCAGGACAGACAGTTGACTAGTTGTAGTAGTTGTAACGTTTGTGTGTGTGTTTGTGCAGACAAGTGGGAGATCGACCCCAACGAGCTGGTGCTGCACGAGGAGCTGGGCGCGGGGCAGTTCGGCGTGGTGCGGCGCGGCAAGCTGTTCGGCACGCGCGACGCCGCCGTCAAGATGATGAAGGAGGGCACCATGTCCGAGGACGACTTCATCGAGGAGGCCAAAGTTATGACGTCAGTGGCTCTTTGATCCTTAGTGTTCTTAAACTTTCTCTTAGTGTATAACTGTGCGGTCTTTTGAGATTAATATGAAAAAAATCTCCTGCAATTCAAGTAAATTAACACTAAAAGAAAATAAACACAAGTTATGTACAGTCGGCTCCATATATATGTATACATAACAGATAATACAATACCTATACTACTATACATTTACGAAACTTTGGAAACTTATATAAGGCAGTTTTGTATTATACACTTATTCGGCAATGTTATGTATTCTTAATCAGAAGCGTAAGAATGGACACGCGCATAGATGTTTTTTACACTTTTACAAACAAAAAGCTCGGTAAATGTATACATACTTATTCAGCTGTAATTATGTGCAGTTTTTTTTT